GTGTCGTCCCGGTGCACTCAGTGATCTGGTGTTTCTCGATTTTCCCCACAAAATCTACATTTGCCGTTGTTTCTTAGCTTCAATCTACTGAGGTGTTCATTGAGGAGACAGTGTCCTGTTAAAAAACCTATGATAATCTAAAGACTGTTTTTACTTAAATCTTTGATTTTTTTCGGTCATAAGTCCTTAGAAATTTCTTCAAGTGTCTTAGACCGTTGAGGATTCCAATTTATGATAACGGATGGAGTCTTCCAGGTTTTTGAGTTCCATTTTACGTTGTTTTCCACTTGGGAAGCAGTACGGTTCTGGTCTAGTTAATATGGTGTTCGCTCCTTTTCTAGCTTGATCGTTTGATTTTTCATTACCCTTTATGCGTTGGTGGGCTAGCACCCAGAGTAGGAGGACTATATTTTCTTTGTTCGTTTTACTTAAGTTCATCTTTAAACTTACAATTTAGGGCTTTAAAATATCTGTGTAATATATTTGGTGGTTAGAACTTAAGATTTGCATTAAAAAAGCAGACGAGTTACGAAATGGCCTAATTCTTATGTCAATTAAATTGTTCATGACAATTTTTTTTATCTATTTGTTGCCCTGTATCTCATGGAAAATTCTAGATCTCTGATTTTTTTGTTTACTATGGAAAAATGAGTTCTGAAAAATAAATCGCATTTTTTCGCGAGATAGAGACGAATGCATTAAAATCTTTTCGCCCGACGACATAAATTGGATAATAGAGTTAGTGAGCGAGTCTCTATCCATTACCGCCAGAGGGTGGCGGATTTAGGACACCTCCCGTCGTCGAGGACGCGAATTTTTCGACGCGCCAATTTCAAACTTTCATTCGGGAGGCGCGTAACGAAATTACATCCGCGCCGAGGATACATTAATTAAAATCTCATGTTTAATGCAGGGATATTGTACATTTAATCTGGTAATCTGCTTGTGTTTGCCGCGAGTTTCGGCCGCGCACACAAACATCGCGATCTCTTTAAATATTTAGCCACCCTGTATTGATCCGCTTGCTTAGAATCGTATTTTGGCCCGTGAAATTAACGGCTCGTTCAAATTTCAATTTCGGCAAAAATTACGGCTTTAAAAGTTCAATGGCAAGTGATATGATTACAGAAATTTTGTAATTATTTTCTATTTTCACTGATATCATGAGTTCACACTTGATAACTGCGCCTTTTTTCTTCTTGAAAATTCTAAAGGTGCGTTTAGATTTGAGCACACACGAGTTGAGCGTGAAATTAAATCGGCTCCGTTTAAATTAAAAACATGTTTTTCGACGAATGAAGTGATCCAATTGTGCGCGCACAGCAGAGTTATGTTGGTGAAAATAATGGACGACCAAGAAATAGTCGCGTCTGCATTCATTGTTATGCACAGCTTAATTATTAAAAAGAAGAAAAATCGAAAAAAAACATCGTCGCTGGTGGCAAACACAAATTTTTACAAGTCGAGATAACTTATTAAACAAATTAGTGTCTGAAGAAGGCTATATACAGGGTCCGGCAATAGTGCGTCGGGCATCTGTAGCTCCTAGAATAAAAAACTTGAGAATTTTGTTTAAGTGCAGACCTAAAGTATGTACCAGGATGTATTTCCGGAAAATATTTTAACTTCTATAGGGTGGCTCAAAAAAGTGTGAGTGGATCTGGATGATTTTTTTTAAATAGAACACCCTGTATATTATTGCATTTTTGGCTTCCTTTCAGATCATTTTTTATAATTAGTGTTAATTTTTGATAAGTGTTATGTCAGTTTTTAGTAAATAAGGTTTAGAAATTGACCTCGCCAAAATTATCATCGATTGTGACTTCCCAGCCGTCTTTGGCGCCGTTTTTTTTCGATAATACGGTGTTTTTAGGATTCTCTATCTCAAAAGTAAAAAACGGAACCTTTATAGGATCACTTTGTTATCTGTACGTTTGTTTGTCAAGACCCTAGATCATATACATATACTTACGGGGATAAATCAACGCCATAAATTTAGCATTATTACATGATTCACTTTCATATCTCCCTAAAGCAAATGAGAATTTACACAGTTTCTTCCTCACGCCCGTAGTATTAGATGTGCTCCGTAGTACAATTAATAGTATTAAAAACAAATCCTCATCTGGGACTGATGGGCTTACTCTCAAAATGTTCTCTGAACTTCCTGAATGCACATTAAACCATCTTACTACTTTAATTAACGAGTCATTCCAAAATGAAGTTTTTCCAAACTGCCTTAAGACAGCAATAATTATTCTTCTGTATAAAGGAGGTGATAAAGATGAAGCTTCGAACTATCGGCCAATTGCACTCCTGCCCACATTATCTAAGATCATTGAAAGATTGGTTAAAAAAAGATTTCTATCTTTTCTCCTTAAATATAAAATACTTACTACCCATCAATTTGTATTTCTAAGTAACAGTTGCACAAATGATGCTATGTTCGACCTTTTTAATAATGTATACTCTAGCCTGAATAACCATCACTCTACAGCTACAATTTTCTGTGATTTCTCTAAGGCTTTCGATTGTGTAAATCATAATATCTTAATTAATAAATTGCAATACTACGGTTTCGGGGGAGTGCCGCTCGAATGGCTTAAGTCATATCTTGGCAACAGAAGGCAGCTTGTGAGGATTGATACGTCTATGTCTTCTTGTAAGCCTATAGAATGTGGTGTCCCTCAGGGTTCAGTACTTGACCCTATTTTGTTTCTGGTGTTTATCAACGACATTGCAAATCTGGACATTAGCGGAAAATCTGCCTCTTTGCGGACGATACTAGTTTCACTTGGAGCGGCCCAGATGTTGCGGCACTATATGATACTATATCCAGTGACTTACGCACCATTAAGTCTTGGTGCGATTCTGATCTCCTATGCCTCAACCTATCAAAAACTAAAGTTTTGTTATATAAAAGTACTTACTTACAACCTTTTGTACTTAATAACACCACTATTGACGTCGTGGACTCTGTGAAATTCTTAGGACTTGTTGTAGACAACTCGTTAAAATGGGACTTTCACATTGAAGCTCTGTCAAAGAAACTAAGCGCTGCCTGTTTTGCGCTAAGATCAGTTTCTAAGGAACTTAATTTCTCAACCTCTAGAATAGCCTATTATGCACTTTTTGAGTCACATCTTCGTTATGCCCTTCCATTTTGGGGTACTTGCTGCGCAACAAAATTTGATCGTATTTTCAGACTTCAAAAGAGAGCAGTTCAATATTTATTGGGACTGAACAGTAGAACTCACTGCCAGAATTTCTTTAAAAATTTAAAAATACTGACTCTTCCTTCTTTATTCATTTTTGAATCCGTTTGCTTAATCCGCAAGCACATATCTGCTATTCCCGAAAGGCCATCTCATAACTATCCACTTAGGAATACAGAGCACGATCTTTATCTGCCAACCCCGAGCTCAGAACTAGTTAACGGTTCAATACTGTACAATGCCAAAAAAAAATACAATCATCTGCCTTTGAATATCAAATCGCTTTCATTCTTTCCCGCATTTCGCAAAGCTCTAAAATCATACCTACTGGAGAGAGCCCTATATGCGGTAAACGACTTTTTTGTTGATGTTTAATTATGAACAATTTTGAATTTTAAAATTTTGATCATCTCACACACTGGTCAAAGGTCAAGTATTTAATATTCTATAACTTTAAAATTATATCTATTTACTGCGTACTGTTCTAAAATTGTCCATGTATATTCTTTTTGTAATTTTAAAGACTTAAATTTTTTTGAATTGTATTATTTGTATTGTGTATTTTTTGTTGTTTGTATTTTTTTGTGATTTTGTTGTTTGTGAGTGCTTTGTCGATGAAGCTGTTTTGGCTTTTTTTTGCACAATAAAGCGTGGTTTAAAAAATATGTCTCCAACATCATGACATGCCATTTACAATCCTTCTTTATTGAACTTATGAAACGTTCAATAGGTTTGTCTTTTCCGAAACAAACCAAACCTTACTCCGCGCATTAAAAGTTGCACGTTTGTTTTTTGCGTTTTTTATTTTAAAAAATTGTATTAAGTACTCTTTTCTTGATCGCTTTTATATAGCCAAGGATGCAAGTGTGTTCAGTGACAAGTTAATTTTAAGTTTGTGCAATTATATTTCTATTTTTTTTCGTTGGTCTTTCTAAATACTTGTAAAAATGACTAGAAAGTGTTTGATGTGTGGAAGTTCTAATATAAAAGTCCCCGAATTATCTTTTCATAGGCAAGTGAAGTATTCAGTTGTTCTTTTGTTTATATTAAACCACATGGGCATACTTTCTGTTTAGATTACCTAAGAATATTGATATTCGTACGGAGTGGCTAAATGTATTTTTTATATAATTTAATTTTTGTGACAGTAAACATTCAATTTATTGTTCAAATATATGCATTTTACAAATTCAATTTTCAAAATTAATGTTCAAATTTGTGGCGTGGACGATAGGTCCTCGACAAGGATAGATAGAATAGAAGCACCGCGTGAGCAAAAAAGAAGGAAAATGGAAGTTGTTGATATGTTGGCGACAGTTTCCATAGTGATTTACTTATCCACGTAAGTATATGATCTAGGGTGATCTAGGTCCCTTTATCTCTGGAACGCGTGGAGGTATCGAATTAAAATTAAAATCATATACTCTTCTGGTCTCTAATCCCTTGAAGCTGTGAAAAAATGAAACTTATGAGTTAACGTAAAAAAGATACGGCCGTTTATCGCGCAAAAAAATCAGCGTCAAAACACCAAAAAAATACTAAAAACCAAAACGCGTTTCTATGGTAATATAATATCGTTTTCATTTTTGGCAGAATTTTAATTAACGTAATTTCCTTTCCTTTTTTAAGAACATATTCTCTAGTTCTCTAGGGAAAAACACATCTTCAATTACATTCCCTCAAGATATTCAAAATCAATTATTATAAGTTTAGGAATTTCCCTTATTAATGTAGTATTTGAAAAAATAAAGGAATACTTGAATAATATCATGTAACTTTACTTACAGGGGTGCGTCGGGGTAAATGGATATTCTAACGTAGGCAATCTAGGTTGTGGAGCTCCAGGATGCAAAGCAGATGGGCAGTGGTAGCAGAACATACCCCTGCCACCCCCACCTGCAATCTGAAAAAGAAAAAATATACATTTTATAATATTATTCCTCAATTTTATCAAAATAAAATCAAGAATAAAATATGTGGGCATACCAGTAAATGAGAACAATCGCAATTAAAGTAACTTTATTAAGTTGGAGTTGATGTTTTTGCAAATCATGCGAATACACGCGGCTTAAATTGAATAAAACGCTAACAGTGACGGCACTTGAACTAAATTAACTGATAATTAATTTTGATTAAATTTACCAACTTAACTAGATGCAATATAGCCATGATGTCATTCACTTAGCGTGAATAATTAAAAGAATGTTTGTTATATCAGTCGATAACATCGAATAAAAACGCTATCCAAATATTATGGTTGTTATATAGTATTTGTATTTTTATTGTTTATACATTTTCAGATATTTATTTTAATTTTTCTTTCTTTAATATTATTATTGATATACTTATTCTTTTAACTATTGTAGGAGATATAACCCAAGTAGCATTTTTAGACACAAAATCAGAACAAAATCTCTGCCGAGAAACATTGCGAAACAGTTTCATCACATTTTTGATACATATCTTTCGTAACATAAATCGCTTTTTGTTTCGAAACATTTTACCAAAATTTGGTTTCGCTACATAAGCTTTAACAATAAAGATTTTAGTGTCACAAATTTTTCGAAACTTTTAAGAAACAGATGTGGCTTACATTTACAGATTTCGTATCCGTTTTGTACCCAAAAAGTTTCCATAATTTATTTGATATTCTGTCAAATATGAGAACATAACCTTACTTTATTGTTTTCATTTTGTTCTGCAGTTTTTGCATTGAAGCATCCTTCAAGTTTTTATAGTACACTAATTAAAAATGCTGAAGAAAGGACATAATATGTGAGTACGAATACATGCAGATATTTTTCTTGTGCGATTTTATAATTATTTATTATACGCATTACAGAGATTATTTGTTTTAGGAATAATTGTAATAACAGCCACTACCCATACCCAACAGGAGACCGAAGAAAAATGTTACCAGCAAACGTTTTTTTTTCTCTTTTTTCCACAATGGAATTTATTTTTTATGTTTTAATTGTGTTATAGTAGTAAGTAAATAAAAATGCTTTAATTATTTTGACCAGAAGTTTTGATTGGCGTTGTTGACAGGTAACTAGTTCGAAATTCTAAACAAATAGCGCTAAATTGAAACATTTTCGAAACACAAGTTTTTCCCTTTTGAGACACAAATATGATATAATGTAGATGATTTGTATCCGACTCCATGTCAATTTTATAAAATAATGAATTAAAATTCCGCCATGTTGGCTAGTGATAGCGTTTTTAACTAAAAATATATGTTTTCATCGGCTGTTGAGCTTTTAAACTCATAAGAACGCGTTCTACTTACATGGATTTATATATTTTTATTTTCAAAACCAAACAAATGAAAATAAAAATCTATATTTCAAACAAAGATATTTTGTAGCAACAAATAATGATATATATAAGGGGCATTAAAAATATGAAACTACATTATTAAAATTAAATTAAACGATGAAATTTGCTTTTACCAGACATTTTTTGTGCGAGAAAATCTAAAAAAAAAAGATTTTAAGAGAAAAAATTATGGCGGAGGTCGACATTGGTGATGGTTGTTTTCATTTTGAAATCCACACAGACAAAGACTATTTTAGTTTGGTATTTTGTTTCTTCACATTTAGAAACAGTGGCTGCTGAAAAAGGGAACAGCTTGGACACAAATTGCGGAAAATGTTTCGAAACATTTCCTCTAAAAGTTTTGATTTTGCATCGAAACATTTCAGAAAACGGCTAGTGCCACCAGTTTGAAGTTTTAATAAGAAAAAATAAAATGCTGGTATTAAGTTTTAATCACATTCTGTTGATCTTAACATCGTTTTGTTAAAAATATAAGCAAATTGGAAGCATTTTTCTAACTATTATATTATTATTTTATTATTGAGTTATCTGAAGTCAGCTTGTCCATTAAAAAAATATAATTTTAACATATTATGTGGCAACTTTCATGACGAAAATCTACAAAAATGCTCAATAATCATGTAAAAAGTAGATTAAAAAAAGAAATTAAAGACGTATGCTCTTCTTCAAGACGTTCTCTATAATTGGAGTTTGGAGTTGAAGATAACATTAAATCAATTTACGACTAACTACGGGATATAAATAACAAAGTCCAATCTAGAGCCATGTGGGCTAATCTGATACATTGGTATCAAATTCAGTTACTGTATTAATAAAACAATATTCAAATTAGGCTTATAAAGAGAGCCAACTAAATTTTATTGAGACATATTTCAGTTAATTTGTCTAAATCACCCGTATGTGTTTGCATATCATTCGAATTCTTCTGAATGGAACGAGGAAAGTTAGTTTTGTTTGTGTTTGTTTTTTAGAGATAGTTTTAAATCGAGATTATTTAATTATATATTTAATTCAAATAACTAATAATACGTATTTAGTTATAAAAAAATGTTCCTGTTGGTACTGAAAAAAGATGATCTTTAACAATACTTCGACGTATTTTTAGAAAAAAATGCTAACAAAGATGACTTGTTTCAGTTAGGATTAAATTATCTTTTAAAGCTATATCACTGCCAAAGCTATATTAAACATATTAATTAGCCATCTAGATACACTCTACACAATAGGATTACATCAAGACAAGCCCTTAAGACTACCTTTAATTTAGCTAATTTGCCTCCAACTGAGAACTCTGGAAAACTTCATTTACTCAGGACATACTTTCAGGTAACTGTAAAGATATATCTATTGTAGGAAATGTTATACGTTGTATTTTTTCGATTCAAGAATGGATTGGTAGCAAGTTAGATCCTTTACAATATGGATGGAAGAAAGATCAAAAAGGTAATCTGACACCTATACAATCAACAGAAGATGTGGCGCCTCATGACCTACTATTTTTTTGCAATTGCTAAGAGTCAGTCTTCTATAAATTGTTCTTGTAGAAAACTGGGTTTTAAATGTTCTTCAAAGTGTGTACGGAATCAGCTGCACAAACTTTTGTATTTTACTTGAAGATGAAGGATGACGTCATAGAAGATTTTATTTAATAACTTTAATTTAATAAAAAAATTTTAACGATATTTTTATTTAATAAATAATATTTAAACGTTATTTTTAATTGTTTTAATGCTTAAATTTATTCTTGGTTTTTCTATATTAACACTTTACTGTTAACGCAAAAATTATAGCTGATTGATTTAAATAACTGGAAAATTTATAAAACGTATTGTAAAAAATTGCTCTATCTCTATTACTATTTATTTTCGAAAAAAAAATGATTGAAGGTAAAATATTCTAAATTTAATTCTCTACAAAAAACATATCGTTAGTTTTTTCGAAAAAAGTTATGAAAACGGAGATATTTGAAAAAAAACGAAAAAATCCAAGATGGCGGCGGTTTTTTTCAAACTTCTCCCACTGGGACCGAATGGGATTTTTGAGGGGTTAAATAGGAGATCATTATCTACATATTCCCGTTGAGATCGGTTGGTTACTAATTTTTTTTCACCTCAACCTCCAGATTGACTAGCCTACTTCATCTCTTTCAGATTTTAATAGTCCAACTTTAGAAACAATGGCATCGCTGACAATTTTTTACCACATGAAATCTGACCATTATTTAAACAAATTGATATATTACTCTATAATAATTTTAAAATGTGTATCTTAAGCTTCTTTTATAACTTTTTTATTTAAATTTTTAAATAACCTCGAAAAAAATTAGATAATGGACTTTATCGTTGGCTCACCCTGTACATCAAGTAAATGACACTCAAGAAACCCACCCTAGCCTGTAAAATAACAGGTAAAAAATATTAGCTAATTACCTAAATACCCCTAATGATGTATACCAACAAAACTCCCAAACAATCATCAGTTGTGTATACAAGCCTTATTATTATTCTCAGAAGTGCGAAAGACAGGAAGTCCTACTTGGGGAGAAAATTCACACACTCGACATTCAGCGCAGCTTCTTAAGCTCGCCCCTGATTTAATCTTGATCGTATAATAATTTATTGTGGTGAAATTGAGGGAAGTTCATTGAATATTAACGTACATATTTAGTTTGTAGAACTAAATATTAGTTAATACTAACAACAGTCTCATATTTTTACATATTGACGTAAAAATACCCTTTTTAATAAAGTATTTATTAAAAAGTTCGTAAAATAATTGAAATTAAACACCACTGTATTTTTACTAATAAATACTATATATTATCGGGTTACAACGTTTTCTGTCTTCCGATTCCTAATCTACACCTCTCTCCATCTCCCCATCCATCTACTTCCAAACCTCTGTACAAAACTTCTTTATCAATACCCTCTCTACAGCTCTTGCGTGGTCTTCCACTTTTTCTTCTGCCTTGAGGGTTCCTATTTAATATTTTCTTTAGGATTGGATGTTCTTCCAGTCTTTACACATGTCCATACCATATTAATTGCTGAGTTCTAATGTCATCTACGATGTCGTGTTTTACTTCCATTTGGCGTCTTATGGTTTCATTTGGTATTTTATCTTTTCTGGATTTTCCAGCCGATCTTCTCCAAAAGTCCATCTCCGTGGCTTTTAGTGTTCTTTCAGCTTTCTCTTTTAATGGTCATACTTCAGAGCTGTAGATAATTATGTTTTTTACGATGGAATTGAAAATTCTTTTTTAGTTTTCTATAGTTATATTCTTATCCCATAGTATTCCATTTAGCATCGAAACTAATAAATACTACTACTGCCATTACTCGCTGACGAGTATTTGACACGCAACAGAAGATGGTTACGCAAGGCGTTTTCTTTCATGAGCTTTTCTGTGACTGAAAAGCCCGATACGTGATGTTATCTCTCTTCCGCACTCCGGACATTAAAAAATCTCGTTGTTTTGTTGCCTCTTTACTTTTCGGTTGTTGTTCTTAACTGAGTTTACAATTCTTCTCCATTGCGTTCTAAGGTGCGCTGCTTCCTCCCACT